GTATTTTTACAGTCTTTATTTTACAGTTAAAATATATGTTTATCAAATAAAGTCTAATGTTACAACTAATCAAGGATCCCTTTAATGAAGCCATGACTGTAAACCCTTACAAGATGTTTTTCAAAGCAATTTCTACTATTCTAAAGTGACTCCTTTCAAATGATATAAACACGATCTTGCATTTTATTAATTATTGCMTATCACTGTGTGTGTTTGCGCGCTTGTTTGTTAGTTTGTCTGGAAAACATGAACCACTGGATAGATTTTAATAAAACTCCTGATTCTTTTAATTTAAGATGGCCGCTACAGCCTCTTGAATTTTCTAAACACACACATGTCTATAATTYAGCTAATTTTCCAAATGCTGCGCTAAAGTTTGTTGCATCAGTAGCTGAGACTCATCACCATCACATACTTTGAGCACTAACAGATTGTGTAAAATCTTTATTTAAAGGTTTGCCATTAAAGGCGACATGCATTCCCTCAAGAAATGCCAGTTTCATATGTTTTGACTGTTCTGGCCTGATTTATTAACTAAATATATTTACTGTAATTTAAATTACTCTGGTTCAAGATGCAAAGCAGTTTGCAAGTGGATATTTGAAAACTGATATACACAAGTAATAATTATCTTATTACACTGTATTTAAACCGTTTATTATTTGTAAATCAGATGGTATCCAGTGACATCTTTGTGCAGCCTGGACTGAAGGAAAGCGATAACATCTCAAGTCAAAAAGAGTAAGTGTCAGATAATCTGGGCTCAGTTTGGGATTTATTTCTGGTTTGTCAACATATATCAAGTGCAGCTCCTTTGTTTGACACATCTGCAACCCACAATTTAGCCGGAGTGATTCACGCCCAACTGCACGCTGGGAATGCACGTTTGCYGAAGACTCACCGGCTCGTGCCGAGGCGTCCAGCTGCACTTCCTGCGCAGGTTGAGCCTCTTCCTGATCGGGCACTGCTGCTCGACCCCCGCGTCCGCCACGGCCTCGCTGCCCATCTCCAGGGCCCGGGCCGCCGCCAGCGCCGCCAGACTCTGGAGGCCGAGGGTCGGCACTTCCTCACCTGCGACGGGAGATGGATCATTTCAGTTTGGAAGTGTTTTCGCTGCACCGCTGTGTTATAAAACATGCTGTGTGCTGCGGGGATTTATTTCACCGAGCAACGGAACCAACGCCTTGAAAAGTGGTGATATTTATGATATTAGCTGTGTAGTTTATTTGATGTATTTTTGTGTTCATGCCTTATCGTACACACACACACACACACACACACACACACACACACACACACACA